CTGCTTCAGGTTTAATGCAAAAATGCATGGTCGTACCGGCAAGTCGGTGTGTTTCAGTTTAGGTTTTTGTACTATCATGGCACTTTTTTGTGAACATCAAGGTCAACCTCTTCCTTCTCCGTATTCTCTTTCTATGGAAGACGGAGGCAATCGGAAATAAGCCGGGTGATAGTATGAGTGAGGCGATTGATCGTATATACTTTGCTCTCAAAAGTTGGTCATGCTGAGGTGCGTTGCTATCTGAGAGTTTTTTTTTTTAATTGTCGTTAACAAATAAACAGCACAAGACGTTATTAATTTCTTTAAAATTGGAATTGCCTCCTATTTAGCAAATTTACTGGAGTATTAACGTTGTATTCACTGGGTACAAAGGAAAAATGATTTATTTGGAGCAGTCAGCTAACGCTTTGTGTCTGATTTTAGGAGGCAAACGTTTGAACTTGTCAAAACTCCAGCTAGCAATTTTGACGTATATCCTCACAACACTCTATCCACACCCTTTTCCCATACAACTTGCTCCGGTCTTCCTACCCCGTATTTTTGCCCGTTTATTTCAGCTGTCCGTTTATCCGTCTTCATATCTGACAAAAGTACACGAAACAGCGCATACACCAGTTGTACAAACTTTCCTCTTGAGTAGCTATATTATACTCAGTTAATGCAAAAAGGCTGCATTGAAGGAGATACGATGTGTTCAGGCAGAAGCTCAGTTACTGAACAGATTCATCTTTTTCATGCTTTAAGAGAGTAACGGATGCAGGAGCAGGGCAATCACTGCTTTTTTGATTCCAGGAAACCAAATCGCATCGACTAGCAGACTAATTTTCGAGCCGAAAGTGCACAAAACGAGAAGATACTGAACTGCACCTTATAAATAAACTAATGCTTTTTTAAGTGAGAAATATTAATTTCAGACATCCTGAACGAAATGGAATTTGAAAAACCATGGATTCTTTCGAAAGCAAGGAATTTTGATGATACCGTCAAATATGAGCCTTGGCGTTGCTAACCGTGGCATTCGTCAGCGTTGGCAGTAGTAACAGGTGATTTCGTAAAAGCTGCAAAAAGTCTTGTTGTGTGAAAGGAAACAAGCTGTGATAAGAAGGCGCGTCGAGTCCTGATATTATCAAGGGTTCGAACACTTCTAAGTCAGTTAACTCGCGTTCTCTTCTTTATTATCGTTAAATTACCATCATATTTTCTGGTCAAAAAGTCAATACACCGAGCAGCCAGAGTGGCTGAGAGGAAAGCAAGGACAGGAGGAATGAAAAGGGAGAAGCGTGAAAGAGAGAAACGAGATGTTCGTTTTCATTAGCAGGAGGACCAGGAAGTGCTTAGCAGGATTTACACATCATTAACCACCAGCAAACTTTTCTCACTCACGCCAATTGTTCCTAAAAATTAGCCACAACTAGAATTTTTTGCAATCCTCAAACTTATGAAAGGGTGTTTTTTCGCTGTTTTGCCATTCCGTTGTCGTAATCCTCTCCTCCTCTCTTTTCGAACTTTTGAAAAATATTATTAAATTTGCCCGTGTGCAAATTTCAACTTTGAAGTACACTTGAAATTGTTAGTGCCTCTAATTTTGTCAGCCAATTTGTGTATCATGGCAGAATAAAAATATTCTATGTATAACTTCAATATCAACTTATTGATAGCCCTGCCAATGTTTGATTGTTGTTAGTTTGTGCTGCAGCTCAGGCTACTTCCGTGTGCCTTTGCTTCGCGCAAGGTGTGAATACGAGGGAGAAGTGAGTCTAATTTTTGAATTTCGTAGAATAATGTCAACTGTTTGTGACGACGCCTGTTCATGCAATATTCAGCTTGCCTTCAATTCACAGCAATTTACATATTTTTTTGCAAAAATAAGTCTATTTCATTTACTGATTACTGGTTCAAATTGACAAAAATGTCGTGTTAAACATTTTCGATTACTTGTACTCATTATGCATTGTTTGTTCTGTGTTTATGCCAAGACTATCCGAGCTATCAGTGTGGGTATTTCCTGTTAGTAATGTTACTGCAATGCCCATGTAAGCCTTCGTAGCTATGTTAGGCCCCTCACGCCTGGGATTCATATTTGTGCTAGAATTAAAGTAAGTAAAAGATCACGTATGATCGATGGAGTATAAATACATACGTACATTTTTATGCAGCTGGCTGGGTTTTCAGCTCTGCATTTCCGAGACTATTTTTAACTAGAAATATTTATTAGCAGGTGGACATTTAAAAGGGCTGTAGGTACATGATACTTATGATAAAATGCTTTTAATTTTTTTCATAAGTATTAAAAAAACGCACCCACAAAAATTAGCTAAGCGTTTTTCCAGGGACTGAAAAGGGCTAATGTGGTTTGATGACAGCGAAATGCGGGAAATAGGCGTTGATGGGCCTGTTTACTGCTGCAAGTGCCTAATGCGAGCTTAGCCAGATCTAGCACTTCACTCACATCCAGGCCACTCCATTAAGTTGTAAAAAATACACTTTGTGAAATTTCCAAGGATATAGCTGAACTAGCAACGATCCGCTGCTCAGCTTAACCGGTTTAGTCACAATTATTAAGATATTCAACACTTAAGATTTTTTTTGCAGCGTCAAAAAACTTCCTCTCATTCCATTTTCGTGCAAAAGGGCACCCAGAGGTTATTCAAGTACTGCTAGCTGCTGGTAAGGCTGTCGACAGCTCACTTTTTTGAGAGTTACATGGAAGAAAACTAATAGTATTCCCAGTTTACCGCCA